CATGGGGATACAGAAACCGAGGAAGCTCTTTTCAAGCAATCAAATCGTCCAGAGTTGGTGGAGTCAGGGGGCATATAAATTTATAATAATAATAATGATGATGATGATGATGATGATGATGATGAAAAATGGGGAAACCAGCTTGAAGAAAACAACAGTAAGAGAAAAAAGGTGACCATGCCAAAGATATGCTGTGATCACCTCCAAAGAAAAGCAGAGCTTATTCCTCATGTTATTCCATGGTAGAATATAGATGTATTTCTGACTTCCGAAGGAAGAAATGACAGACTAAGATGGTTCCACAAAAAGTGGAGCCAACAACTGCGGTGAAGAATGAAGAGCCAGTGAGTAGACACTAAGGACGCTAAGTTCGCAAACTTCGTTTTCTAATCACATTTGGAAATTGCTTGTTAACTACTTTTAAGCTATTAGAGACCTTTGGATTGACAAGTCTGAGAATGCTAGGTGAATTTGCCTTCAATCCTTAATGAAAGAAAATTTTAATCGTAAGTTTAAGAATTTAAAATTTTTGAAATAAACAGCAAAAAGCTAAATAAGACTTTGATCCTAAAAAGTTATAAACAGATTAAGGGTCCAGATAAATTTGTAATAAGATTTTGGAATTAATTATAAAATATCCTTCCTGTGGTAAATAGATTTGTTTGCACTTTTTGCAAGATACAATAAAGATAAGTAATTTTTAAAATTGGACCCTAGAGGGAAGTAAAAATTTTAGTTAAAGGAGAAAAAAACACAAGCATTGAAAATACTGAAGGACACTTTTGAAAAATGGAATCAGAAGTTAGTATCAACAGTGTCAATAGCGATGTTTGCTTCTATGGATAGACTATGTCCAAAAAATATTATGGAAGAAATGGCAGATGAGGAAGCTCTGTTGACAAAACAGAGATGGCATGAAAAGTGGATCTACAAATGACAGGCTATGAGAATGACATGGAATAGGATGTCTCACTGGACATACAAAAGAAACCAGCTGATATTTCAAAAATCAAAAGGGATATACAAATAATAAACCAAGAAAGTGACCTGGATAATTCTTTTATATTGGATTTTCAAAAAAGGCTTGTTAAAGCTTTGAAGAATCTTGTGAGAAGGACAAAGAAGAAATGAAAAGAAATCAAATTCTACAACATTATTCAAAGGGACTAAAGATTAAGATTATTAGAAGTAAAAGAAA